AACCGCACAATCACGGAGGCGGCACGCGGGTTGCTCATTGAAGCCGGGCTACCCGACTATTTCTGGCCTGATGCGGTGCGGAGCGCGTGTGTGGCCAAGAACAGAGTCTTGACTCATGTGGGAGCAGACAAATGGGTGCCCTATGTGGAGTGGCTAGGAAGGAAGCCAAAGGTGGATATGCTTCGGGTGTTCGGGTGCATGTGCATGGCGCTCGTGCCTAAGCATCTTCGGCACAACAAGCTTGGTGCCAAGGCGGTGTGGGCCGTGCACTTGGGCATGGCTCAAAACAGCAAGGGATGGCTTCTTTGGGACCCATTCACCAAGAAGTTCTTGGTGAGCAGGGACTGCAAGTTCATGGAGAACTTCATGTACAAGGATTGGAAGGCGGAGAATGAGGCGAAGATAGGCGTGCGGTTTGGGGAGGTGAAGAGTTCCGGTTTGGAGCATGTGGAGCTGCCTTTGGAGCTGAGCAGCGGCAGCACAACCACAAGGCAATCCTCCCTTGTGAATGGGGGAGAGGAGGCCAATGATGCAGAGGAAGAAGAGGAGGAGGTGCAGCAAGTGAGCGAGCGTGCACCGTCACTCCCTTCCCGTACTACGAGTGCTCCACGGATTCGAGCCACACCGCAGCAACGCCAAGGCCTTCAAGTCCCTGCAGCTAAGGAGGAAGGAAGGGGGAAGAGGAGAGTTCAACCCCCTAATAGGCTGACCTATGATGCGCCGGGAAAGCAGGGCAAGACAGCCCTGGCCGGAGCGGCAATGATGGTCGGAGACGACGAGGAGAGTGACTACGAGGAGTGTGCCTTCGCGTTCTTCTCTCCGGTGGAGATGCCGGGAGAACCAGCAACTCTCAAGGAGGCTTTGGAGAGTAGTGATGCTGAGGAGTGGAAGAAGGCCATGGAGAGTGAGCTGAAGAGCATCGAGGAGAATGACACGTTTGAATTGGTGGAGCTACCGGAGGGGCGTACGGCGATAACGTCCAAGTGGCTCTTCAAAATCAAGTCGGATGCCGACGGCAAGATCGAGCGCTACAAGTCTAGGCTTGTAGCCAAGGGGTACCAGCAGAAGGAGAAGGTGGACTTCAAGGAGCTGTTTGCCCCTGTGGTGAAGCCGACGACGCTGCGAACCCTATTCTCGGGAGCCGCCATCAAAGGATGGGTAGTAAAGCAAATGGACATCGTAACGGCATTCCTTAACGGCATCCTTGAGGAGGAGATTTTTATGGCGCAGCCAGAGGGGTTTGATGATGGTAGTGGCAGAGTGTGGAAGCTGAAGAAGGCCCTCTATGGGCTGAAGCATGCCCCTAGGCAATGGTACATGAAGCTGCGCGAAGTGTTGGAGGGGATCGGCTTCACTCCCTCAACGGCCGATCACTCCTTGTTCATGCTTGGCGAGGGGGAGCAGAGGAGTTTCATGGTGGTTTATGTGGATGACATCCTCATTTTCTCACCCTCTTCTGACCTTGTGAAGGAGGTGATGCTGAAGCTTCAAGCCAAGTTCAAGTGCAAGGCCCTTGGTGACGTGAGCTTCTACCTTGGGCTCCACATCGAACGAGATGTGGAGAAGCGGTGCATGCGGGTGCATCAACGAAAGTACCTGGAGGCATTGGCTGCCAACTTTGGGCAGAGTGAAGGCCATGTGGCTACACCCTTTCCCTCTGGGTTCAAGTGTGTGAAGGGACCAGAGGAGGAGAGCGTTGGTGAAGAGGAGAGGCGCCGATTTCACTCGTTGGTGGGCAGCCTCATGTATGCGGCGGTAAACACCCGACCGGACGTCGCGTTTGCTACCGGGCAGCTGGCTAGGGTTGTGCAATGCCCTAATGAGGAGCAGGTAGCAGCTGGAATGAGGGTGGCCAAGTATCTTGGCCAAACACCGACCGTTGGGCTGCAATACTCGGCGGCGGCACAAATGCGCCAAAAGGGCGCGGATGGTGTTGAACTCGGGCGTTTGTTCGTCACCGCCTACTCGGATGCTTCATATGCATCAGAACCAGAGGACATAACAAGTTTGGGAGGCTTCATATGCTGTGTTGGTGGAGGCCCAACTGCTTGGGAGAGCAAGAAGCAGGTTGACCAAGCTTTGAGCTCGGTGGAGTCCGAGTACATGGCACTCTTCCGTGCCGTACGGGAGATTGTGTGGCAGCGGCGTTTGTTGGCTGAATTGGGGGAGGAGCAGCAAGGACCTACCCCACTGTACTGTGACAGCCAGGGTGCCATTGCTCTTGCTAAGAACCCTGTGTTGCATGGACTCACGAAGCACATGAGGGTGAAGTGGCATTGGACGAGGAGCATGGTAACCGCGGGTGAAGTTGAGTTGCGCTACGTGAAGACCACGGGGCAGCCGGCTGACATGATGACCAAGAGGCTGGTGGAGCAGCAGCATTGGAAGTGTTGCAAGCTGGCTGGGATGGCTCTGAACTGAGAGAGCAACATATCCTAAGGCCAACAATCCGAGGGGGAGTTTGTTGGTGCAACCCTACGGTTTGCACTCGGCTTGTTGTCCGTGTGCGTGAATGTGTGTGTGTATGGAATGGTATGAGGGCATGGGATAATATATATTTCATGCTTATAATTGTGTGTGAATGTTGAGTCATGATGTCGAGTGTGTGTGTCGAGTCAATAGCGAGTTATCGCTAGACGCGTGTTACGCGGTCGTTTGTGTCTCGCGCGCGGTTTCTATTTTGTCGTGCGCGGTTTCTATTTTGTCCTGTGTCGAACGTTCGGCGTGTCGCAGGTGTGTGCAGCAGACCCATCAAGAACTCAAGGATGAGTTTGTGATGAAGAGCCCGAGCCTTGGTGTCAAGCCTCAAGTGATTTCGAAGCTCGCCAAAAAAAGGGTACACCTCAAGATATTGAAGATAGTTACATTACTTTGTGTAGTGTAACATTTCACTTGGTGTAGGCCCTACTGAAGGGTAGTTTCGAGACCCTTCGTGGTTGGGGACAGTGTGGCACTGTTCCACATCACTGTACCTCGGCTCTTGGGGTTTGTAGGAGCCGGGAGTCATTCCCAACTCGTAACTCTTCCTATCTTGTGTTCTAAGACTATAGTGGCTGCCATAGTACCGTTCGTTCAAACCGACGCTGTGTCGTCAATTCTTTATCAAATCGTGCAATCTAAATTGCTAATTATAGACGACGTGAAGACGCTCCAGATCCAATTTGAATCAAGTCATTTGCAGCTGTGAGCAGAACGCTATCAACGTTTGAAGCCGCTGTGAAGAAATCCGTCTGTGCTCTCTATCTTTCGTTTTAGGCACATTCAAGCCTATTGTGACTATAACACAAACCACATTTTGCACTCAACAAACTCCCCCTCAACTAGCCGACTATTCGAACCCACAACCACCGTCAGTGGATTTGATAATTTTCTTCACAGCTTCCACCATTGGCATAGGGACCATATCACCCTTGTCAATCTGCTTCCCCTCGACCGTCTCTACCTTGTTGCCGATCCCAACTCCAGTTTTTGGGAAGACACTCCTACGCTCCCCTACAATCATAGCTTCCTTCAAACTCGGCTTCACCTTGGGTTCTCCTTTCACCTTAAACCCATCAGCTACAAAGCTTGCATAATTGAGCATCATTGCCTTCTCCTTAGCAGCTTCTACCTGGGAGGGCAAGGTCACACAAGCCAACCTACCTGGGAGGGCAAGGTCACACAAGCCAACCTACCTGGGAGTGCAAGGTCACACAAGCCAACCTACCTGGGAGGGCAAGGTCACACAAGCCAACCTACCTGGGAGGGCAAGGTCACACAAGCCAACCTACCTGGGAGGGCAAGGTCACACAAGCCAACCTACCTGGGAGGGCAAGGTCACACAAGCCAACCTACCTGGGAGGGCAAGGTCACACAAGCCAACCTACCTGCGAGGGCAAGGTCACACAAGCCAACCTACCTGGGAGGGCAAGGTCACACAAGCCAACCTACCTGGGAGGGCAAGGTCACACAAGCCAACCTACCTGCGAGGGCAAGGTCACACAAGCCAACCTACCTGGGAGGGCAAGGTCACACAAGCCAACCTACCTGGTAGGGCAAGGTCACACAAGCCAACCTACCTGGGAGGGCAAGGTCACACAAGCCAACCTACCTGCGAGGGCAAGGTCACACAAGCCAACCTACCTGGGAGTGCAAGGTCACACAAGCCAACCTACCTGCGATGGCAAGGTCACACAAGCCAACCTACCTGGGAGGGCAAGGTCACACAAGCCAACCTACCTGCGAGGGCAAGGTCACACAAGCCAACCTACCTGGGAGGGCAAGGTCACACAAGCCAACCTACCTGGGAGTGCAAGGTCACACAAGCCAACCTACCTGGGAGGGCAAGGTCACACAAGCCAACCTACCTGGGAGGGCAAGGTCACACAAGCCAACCTACCTGGGAGGGCAAGGTCACACAAGCCAACCTACCTGGGAGGGCAAGGTCACACAAGCCAACCTACCTGGGAGGGCAGATTCAAAGGGAGACTGAAGGTCTTCGGTGGGCAAGAGGGGCAGCAGCTGGGCAGCTAGAGGTGACAACTGGTGAGAGACCTGCGAGGTCGGAAGGTGAAGGCAAGTCAAAGTCAACGCAAGTCAAAGGCAGCGTGAGTCAAAGTCAACACACAGGGGTGACGGAAACGAGAAGTCAACGCAAGTCAAATCAAAGCACATCAGGCTTGTCGATAACACAAGAAGTTGATCAGCAATCTAAAGCCCAAGCGACACGCCTTACAGGTGAGGGTGACAAGGCAGAACTGGACTAAGCATGGGAAGGGATTCGGTACATGTAACAGAACTAGCATAGCAGAAATTGCACTCACGCGCACACACGCACGCACGCACGCCAACATGCACGGCACACATGCACAATCCCTGGGGATGAGGGAGCTGAGTCAGAACTGCAGCAGCATTAGGAGGGAGTGCGATCCTAGGGGTGAGTGAGATTGCATGCATACTCGTTGGTTCTTGGGCACACGAGAGCACACTGCTGCAAGCAAACCGTACGCAGAGCCACGCACCTTGTGGGAGAGGGAGTCGAGGCAGAACTGCAGCAGCATGGGCAGGGAGTGCGGACCCAGCAGCGCCACCACGGCATCCACGTGCGGCTGCCCTATGAACTGCGAGTGCAGCAGAGCGATGTGCGCGTACGCCTCGTTCAGGTCCTGGTGTGGGTGAAGGGTTGGGGGGCCAGGGGGTCGTTTACAGACAATGGGAGTGCGGACCCAGCAGCGCCACCACAGCGTCCACGTGCGGCTGCCCCAGAAATTGCGAGTTCAACAGGCAAATGTGCGAGTAGGCCACGTTGAGATCCTGTTGTGGAACCAATGTGCGGACATGCAGGCAAATGTGCGGGAGGGTGGACATGCAGGACCAAGTTACAACTAATGGTATGAGTGTTCATTCGTGAGTCAACTCAGAGGCACTAGAGCATCCACACGTGTGCCCAGCTTAGGGATTGTGAGTGCAGCAGGAAGATGTGAGAGTCTGCATCAATCGAGTTGTGGTGCGGGCGAAGCATAGCATACATTGGCATAAGAAGGCATAGGGACGACACTCATTGGCATCGATTTTAACCGCATTCAATGAGTTCTGGAACGACCTCCAAGCACACAATTCAATGGCATACATCAAGGAAACATAACAATGGCATTCCAGGAGCTGCGATGCAGCATGTACCAGCACCGCCACTGGAGAAGCACATAACTCTCACCGCACCTTGTTTCCAAACATGAAGGCTTCGTACACCTCTGGAGAAGGCAGGTGAACTGCAGGTCTTTGTACGGGGCGCTGCTGCATGTGCAGCGGGGAGGCGACCCGCACGAAGCGGCGGGTGGTGGCGTTCCAGAGGAAGTTGGGAAGCACATCCTGCTCCACCTCTCTGCACACCTGTGGACCGAGTGTGAGAGAATGAGGGGTGATTCGGTTGAGAGGGGTGAAGAAGACCTTGCAGGTCAATGGATTTCGCAAACAAAATGACGCGCGAAAGATGGGAAAGATGTGAAAGCCGGGAAACAGGAAGGCGAGGAGGGAAAGGAGCGAAAGGTGAGGGCAGGGTCAACTGTAGGGGGCTAGCCACTAGGCTACGGAACGGCAATGCAAGAAAGTGTAAAATCAAAGCCCTCTAACATAGTGGGCAGCGCGGGAGGAGATGGAATGGAAGAGAGGGAGGTGGCGTGGGCGGCCTCAGTGAAAACAACTTCAACAAGTTTATAAGAGGGGGCTAGGCTATGGAAGAGCAGTGCCGGAAAGGCGATGGGGGGCTAGAAACAGCGGACTCTTACCCCACTCAAGAGGAGAGGGAGGAGAGAGGGAGTGGCATGGATGGCCTTGGCCGGTGGAGATGGGTTCAAAGGAGTGGATGAGAGTGGACACGGCTAGCAATGGTGGTGGAAGTGCTATGGGAGTGCTGAAAAGGGCCGTGTCATGATGCCAATGCCACTTACATAAGCGGCAGTGTGGGAGGAGAGCGAGGAGAGGGACGTAGCGTGGGTGGGTGAGGGCGAGATGACCTCAAAGGAGTTGATGAGAGGGGGCACGACCCTGGAAGGGCAGTGCTGGAAACGCGTTGGGAATGCTTAGAAGGGCCGTTGTATAGGCCACTTACATAGGAGGCGGTGCGGGAGGAGAGCGAGGAGAGGGAGGTGGAATGCGTGGCCTCAGTGAAAATGGCTTCAAAGGAGTCAATGGCAGGGCAGTGCTCTGCCACCAATCGGTGCGCGCCACGTAGGACGTCCAGCAGGTGATGTGTCTCCTGCAGGCAGGGGTGTAAGCAGAAAGAGTGCAAAGCGAGTAGGAAAGCTTGTGAGGCAATCCCTACCATACGAGCTCGTGAGGTGTTCCGTTCCCTACCTGCACAAAACGGCTCAGATCTGATCTAACCGCATAGGATCCTACTGGGATGCAGAAGTGCTGCTCACTTCAGAGAATTCTCAAACGGGAGAATGCGGTCAGCGAATCAGATGTTGCAGTCAAACGATAGATGATCAAACGCACAAGCACATGATTCGCAGTCCCAACGACCCCGTTACACACACCGCATATACACATACAACCCCAGAATTGATGTAAATATTGGGCCGGCTCAAATCTCACACTCACGACACACAAGTTGCCATGTGAAATTCGACACCTCTCGACATAAAAACAACCACACACACACACATGAGCCACGTCACACACACACCATGATGTGGCAGAGATCTGCCCCCTCCATGCGGACAAGGATGTAATCCAGGTTGTGCCTCGTCAGCTTGTTCAGCCGCTGAGTCAGCAGGTCCCGCATGTCCACAGTGCGACCCAATAGCTGTGCAGCAACGGGAGGGTGGGATGGGTGAGGCGAGTGGGGACAGCGGGGGATGAAGTGCGGAGAGGAGAGATGAGTGACACAACATGTCCGGAATTCTGGCATCCAACGTGTCCATCTGACACTACACCGGCCGCGGGCACACATCAAACCTGGCTGAGAGACAGGCTCATGCCGGACTGCACTTCAAGATAGACTGGGCACGTGGGTTGGTTGCAAGGGGACCAGCACGACACCGGGTTAACCCTTGAGTCGACCCCAAAGCCACCCCACCCACCTGCACACCCCACCCACCTGCACTCCCCACCCACCTACAGGTGCGTCTGGCGCAGCAGCCCGCTGTAGCTGCATGGAGTCACGCTGTACCTCCCTCCCACGCCCAGGGCTGCTGCTTCCCAGCGCTGCTGCGGTGACTCTTGAGTTGATCAATAGGCCAACCCACTGACAGACACACCCCACCCACCTACAGGTGCGTCTGGCGCAGCAGCCCACTGTAGCTGCATGGAGTCACGCTGTACCTCCCTCCCACGCCCAGGGCTGCTGCTGCTGTGATAACCGCTGAGTCGACTAAAATGACGCCCCACCCACCTGCAGGTGCGTCTGGCGCAAGAGTCCGCTGTAGCTGCAAGGAGTGACACTGTACCTCCCTCCCACGCCCACGGCTGCTGCTGCCGCCACAAACGACTTGTCCAGCAGCTTGCTGTGTGAGGGGGAATGGGACGGCACGGCACCGTTGGGTAGGGGATGGGGGGGTGTGAAGCAAGGAATGGCAGCAGCAAGCGGGTGTGTGAGCGACTGACCCTTCCACGCCCAGGGCTGCTGCTGCTGCTGCGGGCACGAAGGTCCTGTGGAGCATGTTGCTGCGGAGAAACAAGAAAGGACATTCGTTGGGCAGAAGAATGGGTGGGTGTGGGAAGCAAGGAAGGACAGGAGCAAGCGGGTTATGCGACTGACTCTCTTACACCCCAGGGGGAAGTGGGGAAACGTGGACGGTGGGGAAGAGGAAAACATAATGGTGGCACCAAGGCTGAGGCTATATTGAAGAACATCTCCTCAGCCTTGCTGGCCTTGACGCACTTGGTCAGCGAAAATGTCTCAAATCTTGGTTTCAATCATGGCTGTGCCCACTCCCTTCAGCCCCTAAGTCACCTGGCAGCCCCTGGCTGACTCACCTGGCGGCACACTGCTTGAAGTGAGTGAAGATGGCGAGAGACAGCTTCTCCAGCAGCTGGTCGAATGCCACTCCCACCTGGCAGGGTGGATGGGTGGTTGGGGCATGTGGGATGGGATGGGTGGATCATGAGGGATGGGCGCGTGGTGTATGCGAAGTGGGATGGGGTGGGTGGTAGTTTTGGAGTGCGTGAAGATGGCAAGAGACAGCTTCTCCAGCAGCTGGCGAACGCCAATTCCACCTGGTGGGGTGTTACAGCACGTGTCATGTGGGATGGGATGGGGCATGTGGGATGGGATGGGGCATGTGGGATGGGATGGGGCATGTGGGATGGGATGGGGCATGTGGGATGGGATGGGGCATGTGGGATGGGATGGGGCATGTGGGATGGGATGGGGCATGTGGGATGGGATGGGGCATGTGGGATGGTATGGCTGGTGGTAGAAGCTCCAACATGCAGGTGAGGAGAAGAGAGCACGGGATGCGCAGGAAAGACCCACATTTGTACTGTACTGTATTCGTGTGCCTATAAATTTGAATACTCGTCTGAACTGTCCCTTCCCTCTTGTCCTCACCTCCGCCTCCACCTCATAAAAGAGGAACTGCCTCTTGAGCGACCGAAGAGCCACATGAACTGCATCATCATAAAAGGAGAACGGCAGCAGCACTGCATCTGGAGCGATGCCCAAGGGTGCCCTGTCACACCACCGGTAGCACCACCAACAGCACCCCCAGCCCTCGTCACCCTTTCCCTCCCAATCTCACCTCTGCCTCCACCTCGTCAAAGAGGAACTGCCTCTTGAGCGACCGAAGAGCCGCATCAGCTGCATCATCGTAGATGGTGAACGGCAGCAGCACTGCATCTGGTAGCGATGACGCCCACGGGGTCCCCGTCACTCCACCAGAAGCACCGCCAGCAGCAGTGGTAGCAGCAGTAGCAGGAGCAGCGGTAGCAGTGGTAGCAGCAGCATTCCCAGCCCCAGCAGCACTGCCACCATCTGCAGAGCTTGACCCTCCCGTAGCAGCAGTAGCAGGATCAACTGTCACAGTGCTGCTGCCACTGCCACCACTGCTGCCGTCGCCGCTGCTGCTGCTGCTATTGGTGGTGTGTTGGAGAGCGGAGAGAGTGAGCACCCACGGGAGGCTGGCCGAGAGAGGGACTTGTGTCGTTGCTGCTGGGTCTAGAAACGACTCCCGCAGCCACAGGAAGGAGAGGTCTGTCACCTGTTGCAAGGCGTCTTGTAAAGGGGATGAAGGATCACAAAGGAAGCAGGAGCAGAGAGAAAGGGAGCAAGCGGTTTTACAGAAAGAAGGGACTGAAGAGGAGAGATGTGCTTTACTGCTGTGCTGTGCAAGGCGTCTGAAAGGACTCTCGCAGTGGCATGAAGGATTGCATGCCACCTGCTGCAAGGTGCCTTACAATCAAACAACTCACCGAAACTTTGTTTATGTTATTGAGAAAATAGAATAACATTGCCTCAACAACAAGATGTGTTGTTCATACACCGTCCAGCCAACGTTCTGGGGTAGTCAAGTAGGTGCGGGAAGAAGAGCAGGCGTTGCAGGAAGTTATTGAGCTCCTTTATCTCACTCGCTGACACCTCCCTGTCCCTCTTGAGACGCCTCAAAACCCAAGAATACAACATGTGAAAAGCTTTTGTACCAACCAACCAACATATGACTGGGGTAGTCAAGCAGGTGCGGGAAGAAGAGCAGGCACTGCAGGAATTTACCCAGTTCCTTGATCTCACTCGCTGACACCTCCCTGTCCCGGCCCTTGCTGCACTCCTTCTGAGACGTCTCACACAGCCTCTTCATCTCAAGCACTGACATGACACCTCCCTGCCGCTCTTGAGCCGTTTAAAGCCCTTGAGTACCAGCAACCAACGTACTGGGGTAATCAAGCAGATGCGGGAAGAAGAGCAGGCGCTGCAAAAAGTTATCCAGCTCCTTGATCTCACTCGCTGACACCTCTCTGTCCCTTCCTTTGCTCCGACTCTTCCCCCCTTCCTCCTTGCCCCCCTGCTTGCTCTTCTCCGGCCCGAAGAATCCTCCTTTCACTCCGGCGCTTGCCCCGATCACCAGCGCCTGCACCAGGTGCTGCAGGCAGTGAATCTGAAGGGGGGCGGGAGGGAAGGAGAGAAGTGGCAAGGGAAGCACAAGAATTGGCTGTGATGATGGTGCCGTGCCATCCTTTCACTCCAGCACTTACCCCGATCACCAGCGCCTGCACCAGATGCTGCAGACAGTGGATCTGCACGGGGAAGGGAGCGAAGGAGAGGAGAGGCAAGGGAAGCACAAGGGATACGGTGTGATGATGGTTCTACATTTTCACTCCCGCGCTTGCCCCGATCACCAGCGCCTGCACCAGGTGCTGTAGACAGTGGATCTGCACGGGGAAGGGCAGCGGCACAAGGGATTGGCTGTGGCTGTGATGATGGTGCCAGCTGTTAGAACCCGAACCACACATTTCCTTTCGGCGCTTGCCCCGATCACCAGCGCCTGCACCAGATGCTGCAGACAGTGGGTCTGTGGGAGAGAAGAAAGGCGGAGAGTAGCAAGGAACACAGACGCTGTCGCTGTGTGATGGTTCATGCGTTCAACGGAGCCTCTGAAGGTCGCCTTCATTCACAGGGTGCCCTTGCGGCTCTTCACTACCAACCCCACCTGCCAGCATGCGAGCCACTGACTGACTGACCAGTACCAAAAGTTGGTCATCGATTCACTGACTGATCAGACTGACTGACTAGCCTGCCACTGAAAGACTGAGCTGTGGGCCAGTGCGTGTGACTCACCTGGGCGAGGGAGGGAGGGGTGGGGCGTGGCAGGGCGAGCCTCTTAAGGTCATCCTCATTCACGGGGTGGCCTTTTCGGCTCTTCACCACCACCTCCAGTGCCTCCTCCTCCGGGATCCCCGCCCAGTCCGCTGCCACTGCTCGTATCCGCAATAGTGTCCTGCAGCAGAGGAGCAAGGAGGAGGAGGAGCACAACATGGAGCACTGACTGGTTGCATTTGAGAAAGAAAAACAAGATAACACAGGCTACGGCTGAAAACACCGTGTCAGCGACCATGCTACCTGGCATAAGGAGAGACCATGTTGGAGGAGGAGACCTGTTTGAGCAGCGAGGCCACATAGACGCGTGCAAACAACATGGGGCCTCTCGTGGTGCACACGACCATACTGTGACTACCTAACGTACCTGACGTAAAGTGAGTCCATATTGGAAGATGATACTCCCTTGAGCAGCGAGGCGACATAGACGCGTGCAAACTCCTGCACGTCTGCATGGATGGCCTCTGGTGGTGCATACAGCCATACAACAACCACCTACCTGGCATAAGGAGAGTCCATATTAGAGGACGACACGCGCTTGAGCAGCGAGGCGACATAGACGCGTGCAAACTCCTGCACGTCTGCATGGATGGCCTCTGGTGGTGCATACAGCCATACAACAACCACCTACCTGGCATAAGGAGAGTCCATATTAGAGGACGACACGCGCTTGAGCAGCGAGGCGACATAGACGCGTGCAAACTCCTGCACGTCTGCACGGATGGCCTCTGGTGGTGCATACAGCCATACAACAACCACCTACCTGGCATACGGAGAGTCCATATTAGAGGACGACACGCGCTTGAGCAGCGAGGCGACATAGACGCGTGCAAACTCCTGCATGTCCGCATGGATGGCCTCTGGTGGTGCATACAGCCATACAACAACCACCTACATGGCATACGGAGAGTCCATATTAGAGGACGACACGCGCTTGAGCAGCGAGGCGACATAGACGCGTGCAAACTCCTGCACGTCTGCATGGATGGCCTCTGGTGGTGCATACAGCCATACAACAACCACCTACCTGGCATACGGAGAGTCCATATTAGAGGACGACACGCGCTTGAGCAGCGAGGCGACATAGACGCGTGCAAACTCCTGCACGTCTGCATGGATGGCCTCTGGTGGTGCATACAGCCATACAACAACCACCTACCTGGCATAAGGAGAGTCCATATTAGAGGACGACATGCGCTTGAGCAGCGAGGCGACATAGACGCGTGCAAACTCCTGCACGTCTGCATGGATGGCCTCTGGTGGTGCATACAGCCATACAACAACCACCTACCTGGCATAAGGAGAGTCCATATTAGAGGACGACACGCGCTTGAGCAGCGAGGCGACATAGACGCGTGCAAACTCCTGCACGTCTGCATGGATGGCCTCTGGTGGTGCATACAGCCATACAACAACCACCTACCTGGCATAAGGAGAGTCCATATTAGAGGACGACACGCGCTTGAGCAGCGAGGCGACATAGACGCGTGCAAACTCCTGCACGTCTTCATGGATGGCCTCTGGTGGTGCATACAGCCATACAACAACCACCTACCTGGCATACGGAGAGTCCATATTAGAGGACGACACGCGCTTGAGCAGCGAGGCGACATAGACGCGTGCAAACTCCTGCACGTCTGCATGGATGGCCTCTGGTGGTGCATACAGCCATACAACAACCACCTACCTGGCATACGGAGAGTCCATATTAGAGGACGACACACGCTTGAGCAGCGAGGCGACATAGACGCGTGCAAACTCCTGCACGTCTGCATGGATGGCCTCTGGTGGTGCATACAGCCATACAACAACCACCTACCTGGCATAAGGAGAGTCCATATTAGAGGACGACACGCGCTTGAGCAGCGAGGCGACATAGACGCGTGCAAACTCCTGCACGTCTTCATGGATGGCCTCTGGTGGTGCATACAGCCATACAACAACCACCTACCTGGCATACGGAGAGTCCATATTAGAGGACGACACGCGCTTGAGCAGCGAGGCGACATAGACGCGTGCAAACTCCTGCACGTCTGCATGGATGGCCTCTGGTGGTGCATACAGCCATACAACAACCACCTACCTGGCATACGGAGAGTCCATATTAGAGGACGACACACGCTTGAGCAGCGAGGCGACATAGACGCGTGCAAACTCCTGCACGTCTGCATGGATGGTCTCTGGTGGTGCATACAGCCATACAACAACCACCTACCTGGCATACGGAGAGTCCATATTAGAGGACGACACGCGCTTGAGCAGCGAGGCGACATAGACGCGTGCAAACTCCTGCACGTCTGCATGGATGGCCTCTGGTGGTGCATACAGCCATACAACAACCACCTACCTGGCATAAGGAGAGTCCATATTAGAGGACGACACGCGCTTGAGCAGCGAGGCGACATAGACGCGTGCAAACTCCTGCACGTCTGCATGGATGGCCTCTGGTGGTGCATACAGCCATACAACAACCACCTACCTGGCATACGGAGAGTCCATATTAGAGGACGACACGCGCTTGAGCAGCGAGGCGACATAGACGCGTGCAAACTCCTGCACGTCTGCATGGATGGCCTCTGGTGGTGCATACAGCCATACAACAACCACCTACCTGGCATAAGGAGAGTCCATATTAGAGGACGACACGCGCTTGAGCAGCGAGGCGACATAGACGCGTGCAAACTCCTGCACGTCTGCATGGATGGCCTCTGGTGGTGCATACAGCCATACAACAACCACCTACCTGGCATAAGGAGAGTCCATATTAGAGGACGACACGCGCTTGAGCAGCGAGGCGACATAGACGCGTGCAAACTCCTGCACGTCTGCATGGATGGCCTCTGGTGGTGCATACAGCCATACAACAACCACCTACCTGGCATAAGGAGAGTCCATATTAGAGGACGACACGCGCTTGAGCAGCGAGGCGACATAGACGCGTGCAAACTCCTGCACGTCTGCATGGATGGCCTCTGGTGGTGCATACAGCCATACAACAACCACCTACCTGGCATAAGGAGAGTCCATATTAGAGGACGACACGCGCTTGAGCAGCGAGGCGACATAGACGCGTGCAAACTCCTGCACGTCTGCATGGATGGCCTCTGGTGGTGCATACAGCCATACAACAACCACCTACCTGGCATACGGAGAGTCCATATTAGAGGACGACACGCGCTTGAGCAGCGAGGCGACATAGACGCGTGCAAACTCCTGCACGTCTGCATGGATGGCCTCTGGTGGTGCATACAGCCATACAACAACCACCTACCTGGCATAAGGAGAGTCCATATTAGAGGACGACATGCGCTTGAGCAGCGAGGCGACATAGACGCGTGCAAACTCCTGCACGTCTGCATGGATGGCCTCTGGTGGTGCATACAGCCATACAACAACCACCTACCTGGCATAAGGAGAGTCCATATTAGAGGACGACACGCGCTTGAGCAGCGAGGCGACATAGACGCGTGCAAACTCCTGCACGTCTGCATGGATGGCCTCTGGTGGTGCATACAGCCATACAACAACCACCTACCTGGCATAAGGAGAGTCCATATTAGAGGACGACACGCGCTTGAGCAGCGAGGTGACATAGACGCGTGCAAACTCCTGCACGTCTGCATGGATGGCCTCTGGTGGTGCATACAGCCATACAACAACCACCTATCTGGCATAAGGAGAGTCCATATTAGAGGAAAACACGCGCTTGAGCAGCGAGGCGACATAGACGCGTGCAAACTCCTGCACGTCTGCATGGATGGCCTCTGGTGGTGCATACAGCCATACAACAACCACCTACCTGGCATAAGGAGAGTCCATATTAGAGGAAAACACGCGCTTGAGCAGCGAGGCGACATAGACGCGTGCAAACTCCTGCACGTCTGCATGGATGGTCTCTGGTGGTGCATACAGCCATACAACAACCACCTACCTGGCATACGGAGAGTCCATATTAGAGGACGACACGCGCTTGAGCAGCGAGGCGACATAGACGCATGCAAACTCCTGCACGTCTTCATGGATGGCCTCTGGTGGAGCATACAGCCATACGACAACCACCTACCTGGCATACGGAGAGTCCATATTAGAGGACGACACGCGCTTGAGCAGCGAGGCGACATAGACGCGTGCAAACTCCTGCCCGTCTGCATGGATGGCCTCTGGTGGTGCATACAGCCATACAACAACCACCTGCCTGGCATACGGAGAGTCCATATTAGAGGACGACACGCGCTTGAGCAGCGAGGCGACATAGACGCGAGCAAACTCCTGCACGTCTGCATGGATGGCCTCTGGTGGTGCATACAGCCATACAACAACCACCTACCTGGCATACGGAGAGTCCATATTAGAGGACGACACGCGCTTGAGCAGCGAGGCGACATAGACGCGTGCAAACTCCTGCCCGTCTGCATGGATGGCCTCTGGTGGTGCATACAGCCATACAACAACCACCTACCTGGCATACGGAGAGTCCATATTAGAGGACGACACGCGCTTGAGCAGCGAGGCGACATAGACGCGTGCAAACTCCTGCCCGTCTGCATGGATGGCCTCTGGTGGTGCATACAGCCATACAACAACCACCTACCTGGCATACGGAGAGTCCATATTAGAGGACGACACGCGCTTGAGCAGCGAGGCGACATAGACGCGTGCAAACTCCTGCACGTCTGCATGGATGGCCTCTGGTGGTGCATACAGCCATACAACAACCACCTACCTGGCATACGGAGAGTCCATATTAGAGGAAAACACGCGCTTGAGCAGCGAGGCGACATAGACGCGTGCAAACTCCTGCACGTCTGCATGGATGGCCTCTGGTGGTGCATACAGCCATACAACAACCACCTACCTGGCATAAGGAGACTCCATATTAGAGGACGACACGCGCTTGAGCAGCGAGGCGACATAGACGCGAGCAAACTCCTGCACGTCTGCATGGATGGCCTCTGGTGGTGCATACAGCCATACAACAACCACCTACCTGGCATACGGAGAGTCCATATTAGAGGACGACACGCGCTTGAGCAGCGAGGCGACATAGACGCGTGCAAACTCCTGCACGTCTGCATGGATGGTCTCTGGTGGTGCATACAGCCATACAACAACCACCTACCTGGCATACGGAGAGTCCATATTAGAGGACGACACGCGCTTGAGCAGCGAGGCGACATAGACGCGTGCAAACTCCTGCACGTCTGCATGGATGGCCTCTGGTGGTGCATACAGCCATACAACAACCACCTACCTGGCATAAGGAGAGTCCATATTAGAGGACGACACGCGCTTGAGCAGCGAGGCGACATAGACGCGTGCAAACTCCTGCACGTCTGCATGGATGGCCTCTGGTGGTGCATACAGCCATACAACAACCACCTACCTGG